AGAGAGAGAGAGAGAGAGCGAGAGAGAGAGAGAGAGAGAGAGAGAGAGAGAGAGAGAGAGAGAGAGAAGTGTGTGTGTGTGTGTGTGAACCTGCGTCAGCGCGTCTTTCTACAAACATGTGAGTTTAGTTACTAAAACAGTGAGTTTACCCTCTCCTTGCTGATGAATATGTAGCAATTCAGTATCTAAGCTATGTTATTAATAAAAGTCACGGGGCAGGGTTCACAACAAGTTTGTGTCCTCCTGAATGTTTGAATGTGCGCGCAGAGCGATCTCCGATCTCACAAACCAAAATAATAGACATGATTTTCTCAGGCCAAAAGATGTAAAATCATATGAATTATTATAAAAATTATTCAGATGAATATGTATGGATGACAGTTGATTACAATGATAGTTCAGTTTATTCCCCTCATTATTAATAGTTTCTCCTGTGGGATAAATAAAGTTAATAGTCCTATATCAATAATACTTATTAACATTGTTATATATTATCCCTTTTATAGTATGCATAAGTCAAAAACCAACAAGAATTTTTTTTTCACCATGTTTCCAGTTTTCTGCGTCAGGTCCAAAAGAAACATAAAAAATGTACAAACTGAAAACACTAAATACTTTTGTGATCCATTTTCATTAGTTATTTTCAAAAGGGTAATACGGACATGGATGTTTACAAATCAGAGGTCACCTTTTTAATTCCAATTGGAGAGATAGACATTTGTTTGTCTTTATTATTATTATTTTGTGCTGTCTTATTGGTTACTGTTATTTCTGTTTCTAAAGGCAGCCATAAATAACACTTTATTATCTAAAGAGTGTCCATGTGATTTTATACATTAATAATTTTGTGAAATGAATAAATGCATAATAATCGTCATAATCGTGAAATCGTGATTATTTCTCAGACAGTAATCGTACCAACAAAATCTATAATCGTTGCATCCCTACCCATACATTTATTTACATAATGATACTTGGGAAAAGATATTATTGATTTACAGAATCATGTACTCATTTCATTGAGGAACGCACAATACTTTAGCTTCTAAACTTTAGCATATGCATACTAGCTTAATTTAATAGTTTACGTTTAATATTGTATATATTTAATTCATATAGTAATTTAGTTTTTATATATTGTAAAAAAAATAATAATTAATAATTTGGCTGAACTTTAGGTTTAAATTTTAGTGTTTACATTCTTACGTTTAAATAATATTGAGTTTATTTATTTTGATATTACAGATAGTATATAATACATTTTGTAATTTTGTTTTTATATTTAGTAAAATATAATAATCCATCGGATTAGAAACAACAGGGTCCTGATTTTGGATCCGTAACCTTGATAAAAAGACCTGTATTAGAGCACGACTGTCATAGCTGCTAACTGCTTCTTCTTCTGCCTCTGTCTCTCACTCCATGTAAAAAGTTTAGAAAAATCTTGGCATCTGCTGCTTCTCAGTGGATGGTTAAAAAAAAGAAAAAAATAAGTCATGTAGTCATACAGTGTCTCCACTGTAGCTTGTGTTTTAACACTCATTAAGACACACAGACCTCATCCTCAGGCTAATGAGAGGCAAGCAGCCTCTCCATATCAGCAGGGTCAGTTTGAGCGAGAAAAGAAGAAGAGGATAAAGAAATGAAGCAGTATGGAGCCAAACAAAGTCATGTAGAGAAAAAGAAAGATTATTTTAAGAATGGGAAGCAGCAAATGGGACGAGCAGGAAATGAAGGCAAAAGAGGAAGAGCCAAAGAGACTAATGAAAGTGGCCTGAAGCATAGGGCAGAGAGCGGCACACAGAGACAAACGAGTGCACGATCTCACAAAGCAGTAATGAGAGCGCAGAGAACTCACTACCACACACACCCGAGCATGGCTCCCCACTCACTCCTATACTGTACATTACAGTCACCATTCATCTCAAACCTCTCATTTGCTCTGGATGACACAGTGGACTGCATTCTGTCCTGTCCACTGAGAGCATATATACACGATCATAGAGCTTCACACATTGCTTAGATAAGATATGAGATTGTTTACTATATACTATTTTAAAAAGGTCAGCACAAATAGCATTCACACATCCTTACAGTTCTTGACTTATACATAATCATGCATAAACTGTAGAGTCTAAATACAAGGAAACGAAGCGTTGATTGTTAAGGCTAATTATACTATTACTGTTATTATAATAATATTATTACTACATACACTACAGTTCAAAAGTTTTGGTCAGTAGGATTTTTTAAAAAGAAATCCTTTCATTCAGCATTGGGTTTCAGCATTGATCCTATTAAGAAATATTTCTTGATATTTCATATTCATAGGAATATTTTCTCAAGGTTCATGTGACTCTGAAGACTGGAGAAATGGCTGCTGAAAATTCTGTCACAGAAATACATTTAAAAATATATTATTTTACAATATTACTGTTTTTACTGTCTTTTTGATCATATGAATGCAGCCTGGATGAGCATAAGAGACTTCTTTCAAAAACTTAAAAATAAAATAAAATAAAAAATAAAACAGTAATGTCCTTTTCCCCGAAATTAGACTTTTGTTTTCCATAAAAATGGGCTAAAATGTTCCTTAGAAGAATACACTATAATTTATCTAGCGACCTGAATATCATATTTGTGAGTAGCCTTTTTTTGTCTTGGGCTAGACATTCCTTTGCAATCTCAAAGAAACATCCTGGCAATCACTCAACAACACCCTGCATGTAGCATCGTGGACAAGCAGGCACTACTCTTAAGATAATGCAAAAATCGAGGTTTCTTTTGTTTTCTTTCATGGTCTTACAGCTTGATGAAGATAATATGATGTGTTGAATGTCTGCATCCGTGCCTAAATTTGCAGCTTAGAACTTTAGAAATTATTATAAGGTGATACAAAACCAGCTGAGCATTTTCAGTGGGAAACTTGATTGAGGATGAAGAAACCATCATGTCTGTAGGCTCTATTATTGCAGTATTTTTGCTTAGCTCTTATAACTGGCTCTTCTCTCCATTTCTCTCTCTCTCATTCTACATCCTTCCTTGTTTGTAGTGATTGTCCTTGTTTAAAGCATTCATACATCTCCTGTGCTGAAGTGAACGAGTGTGCTTTGCACACTGAGGCTCTGTTTGTAATGCTGGAGGGGGGGCGCTGTGGCTGTAATGTATGCTGTTATCAGCGTTTCGAGCTCGGCACAGTAATCACCGCTGATGTGATGATAAAACCACTCGGTCCAGAACCAACCAGGAAAACTTAGTCGTTTCTCAGCCATACCTCTCCATACAGCATCCGCACAGGTCAAAGCAAGGTCAGATGAATATGGAAATGATTTTCCCATTATTTTGTGCTCTTATTTATTCATTTTCTCTGCATATAAATTCATACCATATACCTCTCTTATTCCTAGGTTCGTCATGTAAAAATAAAGCCCGTTTCCACACCAGAGTTAAAAAGAAAGAAAAGATGATGTCTTTTCTTTCTCATAATTCATGTCTCACATTTGCTACTTCATATTTAGCAGTTTGCAACTTTATTCCTTGCATTTGTGACTTTGTCTCACAATGTGATTTCATCTCACAATTGCAAATCTTAATTATTTGTTATTATTACAGTTGTATTATTATCATTTGTTATTTCTTTAAACTGAAACTTTACACATGCAAGATATGAAGTCCGAATAATGGAAAATACTCAAAATTATGACAAAATCACAAATGTGAGAAATAATATTGGACAATTCTGACTTTGTTTCTCACAGTTACTTCTTTTATTTTTGTTACTCTGGAAACAGACTTCCAGCGAGGCCATATTTTATTAATTTATTATATTAATTTAACTCTCAAGGTTTGTTTGTTTTTTTTTCGTTTTTTTTTTTTTTCGTTTTAAAACAAAGAAAACTGAAATAATAACTGAATAAGATACTGCATTTTCTATGCATCTTATTTACATTTTATTTCTTATTTTCTATCTAGTCTTATTTTTTTACGAATATTTTTTTTTTCTTTTTATTTCAGTCAAATTGTTATGCTGATATTTTATCATTAAAAAATGTATTAAAAACCTGATTTCAGACATTTGAACTCCTCTGCATGTATCTCTCACAGTCTGGATGGCTGTAAGAGTGAGTAAGAGAAGGACGGTCAGAGTTTGCATCAGTCTGATGGGTTTAAGTTGTTCAGGTAGATGTGCTGAGGTAGTAAAGCAGTGCAGAGCATTAAGTCAGTGTGACGTCTTCCCACCAGCCCCTGCGCCACATCACAGATCAGAGATTTAGTGCAGGAAAGGCTAGAAAAACAGCAGCGGCAATAAAACAGGTGAGAGGTGACAGTACTGAGGTGAGCGAACTTCTACATGTGCGCCTCACAATAATTTTTATTGTGCTGTCAGCTGCATCGCTCTCCGTCTTCCTCTCTCATTTATTTGATGACTTTAATGTCGGCATGACCCGTTCTCAAAGAGCTGCTAACTTTTATAAACGTTTTCATGAGAACCTGTTTTTTTTTCTTCCTATTTCTCCCTCCCTCCCGCAGAAAACATGAAGGCACCTCTGCAAAGGTCACGGTCGCGGCAGAATATCAATTTCAACTCGACACGTGCACCCACTACCAAGGAGCCTCATTACGAGAGTGAGCCCCATCCTTCTGCAGCCCACAGGCTGACCCACCGGCCCGAGGGGGAGAGAGAAAAAGCCAGAGTGCGAGAGAAGGAAAAAGAGCAAACTCCGATGCTTTGCTCATCCAATGGTGACACAGACGTGGAGGCCTTGCTGGCCCGCCTGCGTGCCCTATGATGACATCACTGCTTCCCCAGACCTCTCGGGTTTGACCTCTGTAGTCAGTACGGTGACACGGACACAAAAAAGAAACACATAGCTCGCAGTCACTTTTTGCTAATAAATGCCGTCGGGTTGCGCTCATACACGCAAAGGAAAAGTCTTAATAATTAACCTTTCCCATCCGTCTCCTCTGCCCTTTTACGTCTAACAGCAGACTTGTTGTCCACAGAAGTGCGAGTCTTTGTGCTGGTCGGGTCCAGGATGAAAACTCATTGCTATGTTTTATTAAGCAGCTAATTACCAGACTGTTTAGAATGACCTTTGGTCTTTTTTTTATGTCATAAACAGACCAATTATTACTCTTTAAAAGGCTTCATGCTGCTCTTTAAGGCACTCATACATGTGTATTTTCACTTACATAGACGTTTGACCTATAACAGTTCAAATTTATCAAATCTAATTTTCCCTTCCCGCATTCAGACTTATTTAACCCTTTCATAAAACCCCCAAAATATTTTTGCATCCTTAATAACATAGCTATATCTTAACATGTTTATTATAAATATAAATCACTTTTTTTTTTCAGTGTTAATCTTTTTGACCTATGTTTGTATTCGTGTATATGTATTCAAATTAATAAAAAGTTTTAATATGCATGGAAATCTTTATACTTAAAAACAATTACTTGTGTACTTATTTTTTTCTGTTTTTGAGATTAAAAAGAATGTATTAGTTGGCTTTTGGCCCCCTCAAGAGAGACGGCACTATGCAAGAGCAGCGGTTCTGTATTAGGAGAGCCGCTGACAGCAGATCCCTGAGTGCCAGGAGTATTTGTACTACTTAGCAAACCTCACTGATGTAATGCACACTCCTCTTCTGCACATTTATTCTTGGATCTGCGGCTTTTCCAAATAACATTTCCATTTTTTTTTTTTATGTTAGACACTCAATTTCTTTAGTTTCTTTTTGTGTTTGTTTGTCTTGTTGTGTGCACGTGTTTTCTCATTGTATAATTGACTAGTTTTCATGTTCTTCCTTATGATGTTTTCTGTATTATTCCTGATGTGATTTTCCCTCTGTCCTGCTGTCAATCAGGTATGACATTAGATTGAGATTAGCTGTGAAATCACATCTCTTCTCTCTCTCTCATTCTCCCTGGACTTACTGCACTCCCATCACCTTTTTTGATTCTTTGAAACAACATTCCTGTTATTGGATAGACATTATTGCAGTGACATCCTTTGGTGAAACGTTTCAAATAAAAGAAAGAAAAGAAAAACGATTCAGAGAACAAAGTCTTTTGTTTGGCTTCAAAACAGACGAATGTCAGTTCTTTTTTTTCTTTTTTTTCGTTCCATTTACTCAGTCAGTTTCCCTCATTAAAAGGGTGCATATGTTCTGGCACATCCTCTCGTTCATTCAGAAATCTCATTTTATGCACGGTTACCTGAGAGCCGGGTTGAGGTTAGGGAGGGAGGCTGGCATCTCCTGGAGAGATGAAAGCCTGTTCAACCCACAATCACACTGTTTATTGTATTGAAAAATAATAATTAATGCGGTTTCCAAAGGTGTCTGTTCCAGTTTAATTAATCCAGTGGAAATGGGGGAGGTCGGTTTGCCCCTTCACAGCACTAGGGTGCTGGAGTTATTTAGAGTTTGGGAATGCTGGTTGCTCAAAATAAAGGATTGATAGCAGATAACTTGCTGTCTATCACATTCTTAGCCAGCATTATGTAAATGACTGACGTTGGCAGCAACTGCTCGTGACATTCAAGTACTGCTTGTTATGTGAGGTACTTGGAAGCTATCAAATCAAAGGAAATTAGATGACCCTGACAAATATTGGATAAAATAGTCATTTTTAGTTAGATACTACTTTTAAATGGAACTATATATTTTTTTAATTTATAGTAAATTTATAAAAAATATATATACAGTCAAACCTACATTTATTCAGACACCTTCAACATTTCACACATTATCACAGTTTATTCGCTATAGTTTAGAAAATGGTAATAAAATATGGCAAGAACTCAGTTAAACTGTGTCAACAAATTCATCTTGATAATGCCAGATAACACTTAAGGAAAACACGGTCAGGTCAAAGTGTCTGAATAATTTTTGCTCCCACGTTTTTATAAATGCTACTGGTAGTCCACTATATGAAGAATATTTGGGTATAATATGTCACAGTTTACTTTATTTTGCTATCCTCACTTACATAAATGAACTATAGTGTCCTGCACCCAATAGTAAAAAAAAATATCAAAAATTATATCTGGTGTCTGAATAGAATTATATCTGAATTATATCTGTTTTGGTTTGACTGTATGTATGTGTGTGTGTATATATATATATATATATATATATACAGTATATATAGTAAACATTCTGGTTCACTGAAGATGATTATATTTTAGTGGTGGCTGTCGTTGTTTTTTTACACAGAGCTTGGAATTGCCATCTTCGTGAAGATACATGGGTAATTGACATGACATGTCAAGCAGTGACAGCAGTTGCCCGTAGTGTGACATGGCATACTCCATTTTTATTATTATTTTTATTTTTTTTGTCAGTTACATCTCTTATTTATATACTACTGTTTAAAAAATTGAGGTCAGTAATAGTTTTAATTTTTTTTTGTTGTTGTTGTTGAAAAATTGAAAACAGTTATTTTAAATAGTAAAATTGCACAAATTTTTACTGTATTTTCAATCAAGTAAATGCAGCCTTGGTGAACATAAAAGCATAAATGATCTTACCAACCCCAAACTATAGTGTACATAAATGTATCCTAAAATATTGGTCTTCAAATGGAGGAGAAAAAAACCTTAGAACAAGTTCCCTTAGCATGCTGCATATTGTTACCTACATTTGGTCTTACATGCCTATAGTGCATTAACATGCTTTCCAGGTAGTTTGTTCACTACCTTTTACAACTAAGCTCAAGTATTTGTAAATTGCACTAAGCCACAGATTGGATTCACAAAATAGATCACATAAAAGACAACATTGCTCAGCAGTCAAATTGAATGAGTCTGAAAAGAGACCATATTGGTATTCTTTGAAACCAATAACCCAGAAAACAACATAATTGACAATAATCCCCTCACCCAATCTCCATTTAAATACCCAGTGTGCATGCAGCGCACTTCCTGCGGCCTAAATGGACCTACGGTTACCAGAGGATAAAAACCCATCACAACAACAGGCCGTGTCAGTGCAGTCGAATAGCTCTTTGTGCCGAAATGAAATCATATCCATTTGCATTCATGTCCAAAGCCGCAATGTCACACGTCCACTTTCCAAAGAACGCAGATTCCTCTCCTCCATGCTTTTTATTTGCGTTTAGTCGTCCGAAACATCAGGCTCTCTACAGGCGGTGTGTGTAGTGCAGCCTTTAGTGGGATTGCAGCTCCGATCAGCACCACGGACAGCTCCAGCAAGAGCAATGCTAATGAAGCACGGCCTTCCTCGTTCCCCTCTGTAGTAGCATCAGACAGGCTCTCACCATCTCATCTCTAAATGATCCACTGCCGCCGCAAGCGTAACCCCGAGAGAGGATGTTCTGTGTTTCTGTGTCCCATGTTCTTTGCTCTCTGCTTCTTTATTTTTTTATGAACTGCCTCTTTGTTTCTCGCTCATCTGCTCTCGGCCTACTCCAAAAAGACAGGAACACAAGAAATCACCCAGTCCCAGTGCCTTTTTCCCAGCTTAATAGGACAAACCGGAGAGGCAGAGGATATGTTATTCTGCTGAATGTAGTTCTGCCCGAGTAGTGGCCAAAACTTGTCCGTGAAGCAAACCAGATCATTCCCTTCCTATTTAATGCCTGCTGTCAGCTGGCTTTCCACGTTACGAGAGGGAGATCAGAAGAGGTTAAAGGGTCACAGCCAAAACATTGGTTCTTCTCAAGACATGTCAGGTCAACTGAGAATGAAGGTCAGGTAAAAGAGGTTAAGACTCGTTTGTGTAGATACATGTGTGTTGTTTCATACTACTTTTGTTAATTACAGTTAATTACTGTTATTACAGTGTGTACTTTTTTCCCCACTGTGTGCTTTTTACAACGACTGTTTCTATTATTCTCTCCGCTGTCTCTGCTGTTGGATGTGAATCTACTTGACAGACGGTCCGCAATAACAATGTGTAGGTCTGGCTGTTCTCTAACTGTTGCAACCAAGACGAACACAGATTGTCCAACTAGAGAAAGAGAAACAGACATCTGTTGGTTTTTGAACATGTATTGATGCATCCTCCAGGCAACATCAAAAATGAGATCGGGGGGTGCATTTTCTTTATTGAACAGTTGTGAGGTTGTGTGTATAATTTAAAGGGAGACAAAGCATATTGTGTGGCAGATTGCAGTCTGCTCGGGTTTAATTGGAGATGGGGAGAGTGAGGCAGATGTGAGTTAAGACTGTTAAACTCTGATTACTAGGATGAATCCTCACCCCACACCTCTTCTAGCATACGGAGGCGGGTCGAAAATACTGATCAAAGCCAATATTGGTCAAAGCAAAAGTTTGAATGCCAAAAATGTCTGTCTGTAGTTCTATCTATCACTGTCTGTCTGTATCGTTCTATCTCTCTGTCTTCCGTTCTACCTGTCGTTCAATCTGTCTGTCTATCTATCTGTCATTCAATCTGTCTACCTAGGAATCAGAAAATGGTACAACCTAGACACAAACCCAGTCGTACCTTCAGCGTAAAATCATTTGAGTTGAATGTCAGTCAAAAGAAGTCTTTTCACACCCATGGTCTAGTCTGATTGGCTGGTTTCACACAATTTTCTAGAGTAAGGACGCACATGTTTTTATCAGTCCAAAGTTCTGTTTACAAGATGCCATTTTGACACAGCAATCACTTCTGAGGATGAAATAACTTCTGGATTTGGCAAAGTTTGCAAGGTTAGTGACATCAAACCTTTGAAATATATTCAGTTTTCTTTGAGATTTTTTAATATATGCATAATTGAAATGAGAAAAGATGCTATATTTATTAGCAACGAGTTGCTTTTTATCTGCCTTTTCTTTCTTCACCAGATGACGAAGTGTGTGTATGTTTCAATTACAGCGGGGTGGAGTGTGGTTGCCTTTTCATCCGCTGCACTAACAGTCCAGGAAAACTGGAAATTACTCCTCACCTCTCTCAATTCACCAGATTAAGAGAGACTGCCCTCCAAAGTGGACTCCTCCTGGAGTCTCTCCCTCTTTCTCTCTCTAACACACACACACACACACACACTCCCACTTCTCATCCTAATCGTGAAGCGTCCATCAAGTACATGTCCCTGGAAACAAAATTCAGTTTCTAATAATACTCAGTCCTTCTTGGTTTGGAAGAGGTCTTTTGTAGGGTATTGTAACAAGTCTGCAGGGAGTTTTGCTCTTGTGGGAGCCAAAAGCAGACAGAAGGCTTGGCACTTTTTGCCATATCTCTATCTCCACGCTCTGCCAGACATCCTGAGCTTAAGTGTGCTGCACTGATCTTCTTCCTCTCACAACGAGTCTCCTTTTTCTCTATTTGCATCTGTTGTCCCAAATCCTTTCTCACAAACCATTTTCCACCCTAGGATTGATCAGCACTTTGACCTTCTCTCTTCCTGGGGTTTTTGTCTCACTTGTCTCTTTCACATCATGCCTTGTGGATCCTTTTCACCAAAAATGGAAAGAGCATGCACCTTCTCTTGTTCCTTCTCACCCTTTTTCTCCTTGCTTGACTCCAGAATGGTTTTTCACCTTGAAATGGCACTGCTATCCATTCCTAGCAGCCTTACTGTAGCATGAGCAGGTGACTCAGAGCAGCTGAGTCACCTGCTCCAACGTAATTGCGTTGGATTTGGGATAATCCAGCACCTTCTCTTTTCTCAACTGTTCCTGGTCTATTACATGAGCAGGTGACTCAGAGCAGCTGAGTCACCTGCTCCAACGTAATTGCGTTGGATTTGAGATAATCCAGCACCTTCTCTTTTCTCAACTGTTCCTGGTCTATTTCTATCTCAAGGACAGGCCCTTTGAGAGAAGATGGCCTCAATCGCTGATAGAGGCCGTGGTGTTCTTTAAGAAAAGGCTTTTTTGGGGGGTGGGGTGGGGGGTTAAGCAATGAACGAAGTTTTAAAAAGTCTCAGGTAAGGAAACAAACTCTAAGCTCCTTTTAACCTGAATGCCCATTATTGATTCATGCAAATGCAGTGCGATTTAGTGCAAATCCCTAGCCTTGGCTCTGGT